CTGCACTCCAGTCTGGGCGACAGAGTGAGACTCCAACTCAAAAAAAAAAAGAATCGAGTATTCATTTTTATTTCATTTTACAGGGTCTCACTCTGTGGTCCAGGCCTGAGTGCAGTGGCATGAACCTAGCCCACTGCAGCCTCAAACTCCTGGCCTCAAGTGATCCTCCTGCCTCAGCCTCCCAAAGTGCTGGGATTACAGGTATGAGCCACTATGCCTGGAGCTACTTCAGTTTTCTAATGCTTACTGTTAACATGGTACAGGATGGGCATCCCTTATCCAAAATGTTTTGGATCAGATATATTTTGGATTTTGAAATTTCTTCTTGTGAATATCTGTATCATATACTTACTAGTTGAGGATCCAAAATCTAAACTTCTGAAATCTGAAATGCTCCAATGAGCATTTCCTTTGATCATTGTGTTGACATTCAAAAAGTTTCAAATTTTTGAGCATTTCAGATTTTCAGATTTGCGATGCTCAACCTATATATCTTTTATTTTCACCCAATCTGTGTTTTTACATTTAAAATGTATCTCTTACAGACAGCATGCAGCTGGGTCTGATAACCAATCCCTAATTTTTAATTTGAAGGTTTATTCCATTTACACTGAAGGTGTTCTGGATTTGGCCATTCTAATGGTTTATAGTGGTATCTCATTGTTTTAATTTGCATTGCCTTGATAACATATGATGTGAAACATCTTTTCATATACTTATCTGACGTCTGTTTATTTTCTTTGGTGAGATGTTTATTAAGGTCTTTGGTCTACTTTTTAATTGAACTCTTCCTTTTCTTATTGTTGAGTTTTAAGAGTTCTTCATATGTTTTGGACAATAGTCCTTTATCAGATATGTCTTTTGCAAGTATTTTCTCCCAGTCTATGGCTTGTCTTCTCATTCTCTTAATGGTTTATTTTTCAAGTGGTTGTTCTAGAAAATACAATATTCACTTCTAACTTCTGTACAACTTAAAGTTAATATTATATCATGTGGTAGGTAGCCTCAAAGATGTGCTCCTGGTATTCATGCTCTAATGTAACCCATACTGTACCATGGTTGGTCTGTGTGACCAATAGAATATGGCAGAAGTCATAGTATGTCACTCTCAACATTAGGTTATAAAAGATGCTGATGGTTTCAATATTGGCCATTCTCTCTCTGATCATTCTTGGGAATGGAAGCTGTTATTTTGTGAGCAACCCTATGGAGAGGCCCATGTATTGAGACCTCCTGCCCTCAGCCACATCAGTGAGTTTGGCAGCAGATACTCCAATCCTAGTCAAGCTTCTGGAAGACTGCAGCCCCAGTGGACAGCTTGGTTGTAATCTCATGAGACCCTGAGACCACTCAGTTCAGTGCTCCTAGCTTTCCCACCCTTGAAAATGATGTGATACAATAAATGTTTACTATTAAGCTGCTAAATTTTGGAGTAATTTGTTACACAGCAATAGATAATATGTGGCAGTTCACATAAAAGTGAAGAATCTTGGCCAGTCATGGTGGCTCATGCTTATAATCCCAATGCTTTGGAAAACCGAGGCAGGAGTATCATTTGAGGTCAGGAGTTTGAAACCAGCCTGGAAAACATAGCGAGACCTCAACTCTACCAAAAATAAAACATTAGTCAGGTGTGGTGGTGCACACCTGTAATCCTAGCTACTTAGGAGGCTGAGGCAGGAAGATCACTTGAGTTTAGGAGGTTGAGACTGCAGTAGCTATGACTGTACCACTGTACTCCAACCTGGATGACAGTAAGTCTCTGTCTCTTAAAATAAATAAATAAATACATAAATAAATAAATAAACCTCACAAAATAGCTGCATTTACCCTGTCCTTTCTGCTATAGCTGTATGTCTTACATCTATTACATTATAAACCCCACAAGACAGTATAATAATTTTTGCTTTAAAAAGTCATATATAGTTTTTAAAAAATAGGTGAGTAGAGAGATAGTCCCTTGTATTTACCCAAATAATTATTATTTCTGCTCTTTACTCCTTGAATATCCAAGTTTCTATCTGGTATCATTCTCTTCAACCTGAGGAATTTCCTTCAGCATTTTTTTAATGCTAATTTTCTAGTGAAGAAATCTTTTCATTTTCATTTATCTGAAAATGTCTTAATATCACCTTAATTTTAATGGGTATTTTCACCAGGTATAAAATTATGGGTAAACAGGTGTTTTCCTCCACCACTTTAAAGATGTTCCACTGTCTCTGGCTCCCACAGTTTCCAGTGGAAAGTCAACAATAATTCATATTCTTGTTCTCCTATATATAATGTATACTTTATCTCTGACTGCTTTCAAAATATTCTTCTTCTTTGGTTTTCATCAATTTGACTACAATGTGCTAATATGTGGTTTTCTTTGTATTTAGCCTGCTTGGGGTTTGCTGCTATTTCTGAATCTGTAAATTTGTGTTTCACAGATTTTGGAAAGTCTTCAGTCACAATTTCTTCAAATATTTTTTCTGTCTCCTTCTCTCTTTTTCCTCTTCTACTGGTATTCCAATTGCACATGTTAGACCTTTTTACATTGTTCCACAGCTCACTAATGTGCTGCTTACTTTTTCCCAATCTTTTTTTTTTCCAGATTGGATCATTTCTATTGATCTTCAAGTTAACCCACATGCTCTTCTGTCATTGTCAATCTGCTATTAAGTTATACAATTTTAAAATTTCAGATATTGTATTTTTCAGTTCCAGAATTATGTATAATTTCTATTTATCTGATAATTCTTTTCATTCATTACAAGTATATCTTCCTCTCTGCCCTTGAGCACAAAAATAATAGTGGCTTTAAATTCCTCGTATGCTAATTCCAACATGTGAGTTATCACGAGGTTGGTATGCACTGATTGCCTTTCCTCTTGAGATAAGTCACATTTTCCTGCTTTTTATTTATGTCTAACAGCTTAGAATTGAATCTTAGATATTATACATGATATATTGTAGAGATTCTGTATTGTTTCATTCTTCTAAAGAATTACTGATTTTTCATTTTAGCAGGCAATTAACTTGTTTAAAACCAAAATACCAAATTCTTTCTCCCTTGCATTGGGTAACCGCTGAATTCTCCATTCAATTATTTTAGCATTAGCTGAAGTGTTTGGAATTTATTTTGTTGATGCAGAGTCAGTCAGACATTTTGGCAGGATTTAGGCCTTCTCCTCTGTGTTTCTCTTCCTTCTGGAATATCCTCCCTCACTTTTCAGTCACTATAGTCACCCTGAACTCAGTTCTCTCATTCCTCAACCAATAAGACTGCAAGTTTCTATCCAAGTTTTAACTACTCACAACTCTTTTCTCTTCTGTGCTAAAGCAGAAACAGCACTGAAACTGGGAATTTCAAGATCTGAATTTAAATTCTAGCCTGGCCACTTTCCAGCTATGGGGAAGGCAGTTCTCAGCAACTACTTCCTCACCTTAAAATGAAAAAGAATCTTACAATTAATATGAATGTCAAATGAGATCACACATGAGATAAGGAAACTGAGGCTCAGAAGGGCTAGATGGCATTCCATCTATTAAGTGGCAGGAGTTGGATTAGTCACCCCCAGTTCTGTCCATGCCTTTTCTGCTTTACCTTATTGCTTCCACCTTTCTGATGACCACTCTCTCCATGTTCCCCTTCCCAAGACACCACCAAGTACCTACTATGATCCAATTACCAAGCTGGGCACTAAGAATACAATAAGTCAAAGTCCCTGCCGTCAAGAATTCCAAATACCATTTCCTCCTTCTAAGTGTTGACTGCCCTTTAGTTTATGTCTGCTTTTGGTTGCCCTCTAGTGCCTTCAGGTAGTTGTTTTTAGAATATTTTCTTTAGTGTGTAATTGTTATCTTATGACGGACTGGCCTGATACAACCTATTCTGTCATTACCAGAAGTACAACTGCTGCTCATGCATTTTTGGTTTTGCTCTGTTTTTATGTCATATTTGGAGAGATCCCCAAACTATGCTGCCACTTTCCCCATCGTCCCAGAATCATTTTCTATTTATTTATTTTATTTTATTTATTTATTTTTATTGAGTCAGAGTCTCACTCCGTCACCCAGGCTGGAGTGCAGTGGCACACTCATGGCCACCCCAGCATCAATCTGCTGGGTTCAGGCGATCCTTCTGCCTCAGTCTTCCAAGTAGCCGAAACTACAGGTGTGCGCTACCATGCCTGGCTAATTTTTTATTTATTGTAGAGACAAGGTCTCGCCAAGTTGCTCAGGCTGGTCTCGAACCCGCGGGCTCAGGCAATCTGCTCACCTCGGCCTCCCAAAGTGCTGGGATTACAGGCTGAGCCACTGAGTCCGGCCTTGCTATTTATTTTAATAATAAAAACAATACTGCCTAGAATCTTTCTATTACTCGGAATCTTTGTCCAGACAACTTCTCTCCTAAAGGGCAAGTATACTTGGTCAAAATTTAATTGCTAGGGAGTAAAAGACCAGTAGTGACAATGATTTCCCTTCCATCCCTTCATACCTGTTGTTGCCTTGGCTATTCCCTGATCTGGTAATGCTCCATATTTCCGATGCTGATCATACCAGTCACTCACTGTCATAGATGCCAGACTTGGATAACCAGCTCCAAATACTCTGTAAAAAAATCACACTGAATTTAGAAAACTAAACAGAAATAACACTTTTATTAAAAAGCCTCTTTTCTTTAATGACAAAGCCTATGTATGTCTGTCTTATTCCCTTACCCAGTCATCTTCTGAATAGTTGTACAAACTCATGTGAGGATATGTAAAAAGAGACATCCAAAAAGCGGCATTAAAGTCAAGAGCGTTCATGAGAAGACAAATAGCCCAGAATCATCACCCAATAAAGCAGTCCCAGAGGCCAATGTCCCACAGAGCAATGATAGCACTGTGGAATGGGTAATTTATAGTTGGTGGCTCTGAAACAAAATTTAAAAAAAGGAGACTCTCCTGCTATTATGGAAAAGAACTCAGAATTAAATCACAGAAAGTCAACTATGTCCTTCTGAGAATTGCAGCTAAGGCAGGAAGAGTGGCAATAATGGGAAAAACTTTTTTTTCTTTTTTTGAGGTGGGATCTCACTCTTTTACCCAGGCTGGAGTGCAATGGCATGATCATGGCTCAAGTGATACCTCAGCCTTCTGAGTAGTTGGCACTAGAGGCGTGTGCCACCATGCCCAGCTAATTTTTTTTTTATTTTTGTAGAGACAAGGTCTTGCTATGTTGCCCAGGCTGGTCTTGAATTACTGGGCTCAAGCAATCCTCCTGCCTCAGTCTTCCAAAGTGGTGGGATTTCAGGTGTAAGCCACCACATCTGGCCCAAAACTTCAAAGTATAAAATTCTCTGTTAGATTATTTCCTTTCTGTTTTGTTTGTTTCCTTTTGAGCCTATTTTTGAACTCAAGTTTGTGAAGGAAATGGCCAAAGCAGACAGACATGGAGAAAGCTTCGCGAGAGATAATACCCTTTTGATGAAGGAACACCTCCAGAGGCAAAGTCATAACTTTTCAACAATATTTATTCTGTGTGTTACTCATGTATTGCCATTGAGCCATAAAAGCAGAGGGCTGCAAAGCAAACCACTCTCTAGTACTACCTACTTGGCTTGAGCCTTGTCCCGTGTGAGAATGAAGGGTTTCATTGGTGGCCTCTCTTGACGGGATAAGTGAGAAGTTGATGCCTAAAAAGGAAATTAATTATCAGAAGTGTATTGCTATTTTGCCCATCCTACTATGCAGGCTCTTAAGTATTCAGGTACTTTAAAAGCTCTTAAGTATTCAGGTACTTTAAAAGCTCTTAAGTATTCAGGTACTTTAAAAGCACTTTCTATTTATCAGTCTCTAATCTATGGTAGCAGAATACTAATGGTGGAAGTTGCTTAGCTTTCCTGAGGGGGCCTGAGTACCTTGTGAAAAAGGGACAAAGAAAAAGTTATCCAAGAAATTATGTAACCACAAACAAACAAACAAACAAAAAATCACTTGGCTTTAAAATACCCTCTCAAAAGAAGGAGATGCCAAAGTCCTCTTTTATGTTCCACCTAAATCCCTTGAGCTAAATTTGAAGCTCTTTTCCTCAGCCTGAGCTTTAGTGGAAAAGCTGAATTAATAAGGCCCATCTCCTAAATCCCCTTCCAATGTAATTATGCTATTAACTGTCAAGGGTACTTTAGAAGTGAATGTTCTTAAATGAAAGTGGGAAGGATGGACTAGTAGTTTCCATACAGAATTATACAGAAGTGTTTCAAAGAACCAAGGTTTTCTAGGGGTGTTCTGAAACAAAGGATGGTCAAAGAAAAAGTGCTCACTTGGTTCTAGCCCAATCACTTCCAGAGTCAATCCCAATACCACCTGAGAGAGCACTAAACAAAACAAACAAACAAACAAAAAACAAAGACAGGGACATGGCAAGACCCAGAAGAGTCCGGCCTCAAAATGCTTGAAAACCACTCATCTAGATATGTTCAAGAGACCTTATGATCTTAGAATACTAATTGTTCATTCTTTGATCCTTTAACATGAAGAACTAGGTTGATGTTATCCTGAGGCAAGTGCTCCTAGGCTAATTTATACAAGTCAAATTAGGAAGAGGTTTCTCTAAGAACTTAGAAGCCTGTGACTAGCTGACAAATTCAACTCAATTTATGTTGTATCCTGAACCAAAGAGAAGCAGCTCCAAAACAAGGTTATGATCTTCAAAGAGCCAAAGCTGTGTTACACCAGGTTTTCTTTACCCGTATACTGAACATTTGTGCATGAAGATGTCTTTGCTATGTCTACTTAGGTGATCTAAAGGTATCAGACTGTACCATTGTGGTAAGGCTAAATTCTAATTCCTTCTCTAATCTAAGCATATTCCCTAGGAGGGTCTTTTATCTTCTTCTTTCTATTTTTCTCTCCATCCTCAAGTTCTACTTTTCTTCTCCATCCCTATCCTATTCCTCTTCCCCTTTGTTACAGTCAAGGATGGTTTTAAAGGCTTACCTCCTCCCAAGTCTTCCTTAAGCAGCCATGACTTCCCACAGCCAAAATCAACTTTTATTTCAGAGAAGATTCTGTCGCCCATGTCACACAATTACAAATGACTACAAGTATTACAGATTTGAAAGCACTGAAGAACACACTCTGAGCTAAAGAGAAAGCTACCCTAGGGAACCTTCAGCCTTTCTCCATTCATCTTAATAAGAATAATGATTTTATGGAGACTTAAAAGGATTTTGATTTGATTACCCTCCTGCAGAAAATTCAAATCTCTGATAGTAGCTTTTTGAGCTATGTGGGCAGTGACCAGGCTTACCTCTCTTGAAGAGTCTTTTTCTCTTAGGATCTTCATCTCCTGGTCGATGCTTTCAATCTCTTCTAAGCTGATACTAATCCACCTCTGAAGGTGAAGGAGATAATATTCACGAACACGCTCATCATCTGCTTGACCACTTTCCACAGCAGATTTCAGTGCAGACAACCTATGCTCCAAATCTTTCTTCTGCTTGTATCTGTTCCACAGAAAAGCATTACAAATAAAGAGGTATTCCCTCAAAAGAAAACCACAGTAAGATTTTATTTTGAAAACGACCAGGTAGTAAATACACCAATTTCCACCTTGGCAGGAATATAGACTCTATACCCCAGAGCTTGTCACCAGGTAGTTCCCTCAGACTACAAGACAAGGAAGAGACTGGCAGGGGATGAGAAATATATTCTGAAGCCAGAAAAATACAGAAATAACCTGACCTCATCAAGTCCTACCATTATCTTTAGGGATGAGATTGCCTTAAATTAGTTGATTATATCAATACTTACTATAGTGGATGCTTAGTATCACATCACAGTGCTTCCCATAAAGCTTCCACTATGGAGCTATACCTTCAAAGAACCAGAATTCTAGGGGTCATTTACCTGCCAATGATGCAGGAATTTCTTGTGCAACAGTCTAAAAAATGGTCAACTCTTGTTTTCTCCCGGGAAAAGCATTCCCAGCTCTTCTGACTCATTCTTATATAAACCAAGAACTCATAACCGCTCTGGTTGTCTTTTTCCAGGATGTATTTTAGTATGTCATCTATCAATCATCTGATAAATATCTACCAAGTATCTACTGTGTGACAGGCACTATTCTCAGTGCCAGAAACATAACAGTATATAAAGGAAAGTTCTTACTTTCATGAAATTTTCATTCTTGTGGGTGAAACAGATGATGAGTCAGGTGATGTCAAGTGCTATGAAACAGCAAAAAGCAAGGTCAAGTGGATAGAGTGAGGTATGGAAGTAGGGGTGCTATTATATATAAGGTGGTCAAAAGAGAGCTCTCTGAAGAGAACAAGGACTTCAAGAAAATAAGGAAGCAAGCCATGCTGATATCTGGAACAGTGTTCTAAGGAGGAAGAGCAAATACAAAGGCCCTGGGATGGGAAAGTGCTTGGTCTGACATGTTTGAAAAGTAACAAGGTGGCCAGTGAGGCTGTAATGAAGAGTGGTAGGAAATGAGGTCAGACAGAGAGCCAGGGCCGTAACATGTAGAACCTGGTAGGCAGTGTTACCCAAAATATCAAATACCATGGTATTTTGAGATGAGAAAGCCACTGGAGGTTTTTTAATAGAATACATGACATGAATAGAATAGAGTGACAAAAAAAGACTTAAAAAAAAAATACGGGCCACTCTATTGTATGGAGTGGGGGCTGTGGGGGCTAAGAGGCAAGGGTGGAAACAGGGAAAACAATTCAGAGGATACTGTCACAATCCAGGTGGGAGATATTGACCTGAAATAGGAAGTAGTGATGGAGGTAAGGAGATGTGGATGCCTTGAAAATATAAAACTGATAGGATTTGCTGATTTATTGGATGTAAGAGCTTGAGGAAAAGAAAATAAAAAAGAAAACAAAACCCACAACAAAGATTTCCAAGAGAAGTATCTTGAAATATCTCTGCCTGAAACCCCACTCCAGACCCTCCAGAATCAGATGCTCCTCTTTAGGTCTTTACCCAAATGGGGGGGGGTCGTAATCTGAAGTCCACAGAGAGCATGGGGGGGGAGGTGGTCCTTGAACTCTCAAACTTTATACAAAATTCTATATGTATGTTCTTCATCTTTTTTTTTTTATTTATGAGAAGAGGTTTTGTATTTTAAAGAGGAAAAGAGGAAAGGGGTCCATGATCTTTTCAAATTCAAGAACTGCTTTGAAAACAGTTATAAAAATTTTGAGGCTCTTGTGTTCCTTTCACCCAACAAGTAAGCACTTCGTCATAAGTAGCTTTCTGAGTAAAATACAACAAAGACCAATTCCTAGTTCATGAATGTTATTAGACGTATTACTTGAGAATGTTTAACCCCAGTCTCATTCCTACCCACACCCTTTTTCCTAGATGTACCTAAGTCACCAGAAAAAAAACCGGGGTTCTTTTGCTTATTTTCCCATTCTCTGCATGCATAAGGCCTAACTGCACTCTCTGCTCCTTTCTTCTTTTCTACTTCCTTGCTTCGATGACTTTGCTCTTATCTTTTAGATTTCTAGCTCCTCAACGCCTGTTCTTTTAGGACAGTGTTTTAAAAGTTTCTGTCTTAGCAAAGGAATATCTTCTTCTAACGAAAACTTTTATGGAACTCCCATAACTTTAACAGATAAAAACAGAGGAGGGCTCCTGGAAACCAGTTGTAGCTGTTCTAGACTCCCCAGTTAGACCATTGTACAGAAATATTCTTAGAATTCCTCTACCTCTGTGACCCTTCTGATTCTCAGCAACTTTCAACATTCCATCCTTCTGTTCCCAAGCTGCTATAAGAGAGTTAAGGAATTATACATTTGTGTCAAATGAGTCAACTACAAATCCCTATTATCAAACTTTAGCTGAGAGGCCACTATTGCTCAGCCATCCTTTTGTTCATCTTTTGGAGAGGCCCCATAACCACCATCACACTCACCAGATAGCCAACCAACGTAGAACTGAATTTCTCTCTTCACCTTAAAATCTCTATAGCTTCACTCTTCCTTCTTTACTCTTGTCTTTAAGGAGCTAATTTTGTTTCTACCAAGGCAATGTCCACTTTCGCTATCAATCTAATCCCCATCCACATTTTTCTAGGCCTCACTCTTATTGATCACCCTCCCTGTCATGAGCAGCTAAAAATTTTCACTCTATTAGTGCCTTTCCCCTGTCTTAGAAACACCTTCCCTCAATTCATTTTCCACCCTTTCAAATGGCCACTCTTCTAGTTTCTATGCTATAGTGGAAATTTGAAGACCTAAGTTTAAATCCTAACCTGGCCACTTACTAGCTATGTAACTTTGGCAAGTCAACCCTTAGAGTCCATTTACTTATCTCTACAGTGGGGATAAGAATGTCTATTGCATGGAGTTTTTAAAAGCAAATGGGAATATACACATTAAAGTGCTTTGTAAGCAGCAATATAAATATTGTTAGCTGGTGAGGAAACTGAGGCTAGAAGACACTTCCAAGTACTGTACCTACTGTGATCCCTTGTTTGAATACCAAGTGATATAATGAAACAATTAGGATACTAAGACACAATTAGTCAAGGTCCCTGTCCTTGAGGAGTTCCAAGTCTAGAGACTGACAGACAGTTACACTGTGATAAGTAACAAAAACTAAGTGCTACAGTATCTGGGAGGAGGGATAGGTAGGGAGAGGCTTCAAAGAGGACATATCATTTGCTCTCTCTTTTCCAGGCTGCTGTAAGTTTTTCTATCTATGCCATGTTGAGTCTCTTACCTCCAATTGCTCTTTATTTCCCCTTCCTTCTCCCGTAACTTGCCCCAAGGTTTTATCCTTGTTTTTTTTTTTCTTTCTACATGTTTTTCCTTGGCAAACTCATCCACATCCACCAAAGCAGAGTGCTCCTAAATTTTTCACATCAGCAACAAAACAATCTCATAAACTCTAGTTGCACGTTTCCACCTGTCTATGGAAACGGCTATTCAGTTGTCACTTTAGAACCTAAATTCAGTAAGTTCAAAACTAAACTCATTACTTACCCAGCTTCCATTTCTTCTCTATTTCTGACAAAAGAATGGAGGTGCTTTTAATCAACCAGACTCACATTCACTCCTCAAAGATGGGAACTGGAGAATATATATGAAGAAACAGGTTTTGAGAGAGAATGTACGCGTGCTGCGCTAGCTTCATTTTTATTACTTCTTCCTGCTTGAAGTACTATAATATGTTAACCTGTCTTTCAGCCGCTCTTCTTTCAATATTATATACATATCAAATCCTTAGGAGTTCTCCAACCATACTACTCTTAAAAGCAAATGGGAATATACACATTAAAGTGCTTTGTAAGCAGCAATATAAATATTGTTAGCTGGTGAGGAAACTGAGGCTAGAAGACACTTCCAAGTACTGTACCTACTCTGATCCCTTGTTTGAATACCAAGTGATACAATGAAACAATTAGGATACTAAGACACAATTAGTCAAGGCCCCTGTCCAATAGTCTGCCAAATCAGACTATTTTCTTTGTACATACCTAAATCTATCTTGTCTTTGGGTTTTTGCTCATGTTGTTTCTCCTGCTTGCCAACAATAAATATTGCTCGAGTACCTTCTATATGCTAGGCACTATGCTATTTATACTACAGTGAACAAGAGAGAAATGGCTCTTGACCACATGGAGTGTACATCCTAGTAGGGGAGAGAGACAAAACCCAGAAGGACAGACACATGAAATAACTGAACATGAGGTAAGTGCCAAGAAGGAAGCAAACATGGGGCAAAGACAGGGAATGACAGTTGTTAACTACGTAAAAAGACTGGTCTAGAAAGGCCTCTCTGAGGAATGACATTTAAGCTGAAACCAAAAGGATAAAGAGTTAGCCATATGAAGAGCATTCTATGCAAAGAGACTAGCACGTACAAAGATCCTACAGAAGGAAGGATCTGGATCTGTTCAAAAAATGAAAAGGCCATTGTGACTGGAGTATAGCAACAAGGAGAGAATGACATGCAGACAAAAAAAAGGCAGGCACCAGATCACACTGGGCCTATGCTGGTGGCCTAGACTGAGTTAAGATGGTGGAGATGGAAAGAAATCGAAGGACAGAAGATACCTTTTGTAGTTAGAATTGACAGGCCTTGCTGATGGACTGAATGTGGAAATTCAGAAAAAGGGAGGAATTGAAGCTAACTTCTAGGTTTCTGGCTTAAAACCCTAAGAGAAGTGTGGTGCACTTACTGAAATAGTGAAGACTTGGACACAGGAACATATTTGAGGGTTCAATTTATGACACATCTATGAAACACCAAGAAAGGAAGGGTGTTGGAAGTATCAGTGTGATGGTCAGGAGGGGTCTGGCTAGTGATTAAATGTGGAAGCCATTAGTAGAAAGACAGTGTTAGTATCTTGTCTGTTAGACATTTAAAAAAAATATTCAAAGATCAAGTTTGCAAACCAAAGAAATGCAAATCAAAACAATGGGATACATTTTTTTGTTTGCCCAATTGGAGTTTCTAAGTGTTATCATCCAAGATAAGCACAATGGAAAATACTCTGCAAAACGCTGTTATCATGGAAAGCAATATTGTTACCATTTATCAAGAGCCTCAAAATATTCCATTTGGCTAGGCCCATGGCTCACGCCTATAATCACAGCAGTTCAGGAGGTAGAGGCAAGAGGACTGCCTGAGCCCATGGGTTCAAAACCAGCCCGGGCAACATGGCAAGACCTCGTTTCTACAATAATTAAAAAAAAAAAATTAGCCAGACGTGGTGGCACATTGCCTGTAGTTCCAGCTACTTGGAAGGATGAAGTGAAAGGATCACCTGAGTCCAGCAGGTAGAGGCTGCGGTGGCCATGAGCGTGCCACTGCACTTCAGCCTGAGCGACAGAGTGAGACTCTGACTCATAAAAGCAAAAAAACAAACAAAAAACCCCAACTATTCAATATCTTTGACCCAGTCACTGGTTCATCTAGAAACCTATCTCAAGAAAACAGTGACAGATGTTTAAAGGTGTTTGTTTACAGCATTACTTAGAATAACAACAACAAAAAAACCCATAAAGTCTAAATATGTGACAATAACAAATTAGTTTAAACAATTATGGTACAACTATAGGACTTATCATTATATAACCATTAAATATCATGGTTTCAAAGGACACAGGGAAATGCTCACAATATTAGGTTAAAAAAGAATAAAAAGCTGTGTTTACAGTATTACAAATTTATTAGCTTAAATAACTACATATCTAAAAGGAAATGCATCAGAAAGTTAACAATGAGCACATATGAGTGCTAGGATTAATGCTTATTTTTAATTTTAAAAATATTCTTGTTCCAGCTACTTGGAAGGCTGAGGCAGAAGGATTGCCTATGACCAGCAGGTTGAGGCTGTGGTGGCCGTGAGCATGCCACTGCACTCCAGCTTGGATGACAGGGTGAGACTCCAACTCAAAAAAAATAAAAAATAGAAATATTCTTGTTGTGCAAACTTTATATAAGGAGCATTATTACTTTTACATTCATAAAAATTCTTAATTTCTATTTTTAACCATCCTTCAAGATTCAACTAAAATGCCATTTGGTCCTGAAAACTTTTCCTCATCCCTCCAACCAGATGTGATCACTCCCTCATCTTTCTTCACAAGTTTGTATCTCTATGTCATTTACAGTGTTTTATATATTATTATTTATTAAATATTATATATGTATATATAATTATATAGGCTGGTGAACTGTCCCCAACTTCTTACAAAAAACAGGATGCTAAATTCCACTTCTTATCGTCTATCTATCACATGTGCTCAAAAATCATTCACTGTCACTTACCATCCCCTAACCATACTTTATTATTCTTCACAGCCCTTCCCACCTGAAATTACATTGTTATTTTCCAACTTACTGTCTGTCTCCTCCACCAGAGTAAAAGTTCTATAAGGGCACACTTTATCTGGTTTTCTACTACCTAAAACAGTTCCTGGCACACAGAAAGGGCTCAATAAATATTTGTTGAATAAGTGAATCGATTCTCAGTTCTCTAGACCAAGCCTCTCCTCTAAGCTTCATGCTACCAGATCTGCTCTTCCTTCTCTACTCCCCATCCATCCATGAATTCCACAACCATCCATCCACCTTAAACAGAAACATGGACATCTCCCTTGCTGCTTCCTTCTATCCCACCACCCACAACCAACTGATCACCAGGTTTTCTGCAGATTCAGCCCTTCTAAATAAATATATTTCTCCATCCCTCTGCCAATGCCATAGTAAATCCTCATCACCTCTAGGTCACCATAGTGACCTAACCGGGTCTAATCATCTTATTGTTTCCTGCTGTCAGTGTATGGTATGCTAGTTATAATGCAAATGTGGCCAGGTTACTCCTTAAAAAGAAACAAACAAAACTCTTCAGTGGATCCTAGACACCAAACAAAATAAACTCTTTAGCAAGGTCTACCCAATAGCAGCCAACATTTATATAACACTTTCTATATGCAATATACTGTGTGCTGTTTTATGTGCTTTTTTCTCATTTATGCTTCTTAACCCCATGAGATAGGTGCAGATGCACCTTGACTTACAATGGGGCTACATCCCAATAAACCCATCGTAAGTTGAAAATACCATAAGTCGAAAATGCATTTAATATTCCTAGCCTGCCTTAAACATGCTCAAAACACATAATTAGCCTACAGTTGGGAAAAAGCATCTAACACAAAGCCTACTTTACAATAAAGTGTTGCATATCTGATGTAATATGCTGAATGCATATCACTTCCACACCACTGTAAAGTTGAAAAATCGTTAAGTTGAACCACCTTTAAGTCAGAGACCATCTGTACCATCATGTTTCACATGAGGAAACCCAAGGCTCAGAAAGGTTAAATAACTGACCCAGAGTCCAATGGCCTATAAGTAGAGCTCTCCTTGATGTGATCCCTACAATATTCTTCAGCATCATTCTTTCTCCCTCACTACCACCCCCTTTGTGTTTTAGCATCACCTAATTGCTTACATTTGCTGTTCTCCTCCCACAAATCCCCACCCCAACACTATCTCTATGATGACACTGTAGCTTTACTAGTGGTATTACCTCTGCTGGCTAACGCCCTCCTTTTGTCTCCCTGTGAATATTCCTATTCACCTTAAACAACTCAGCATAGGAGTCACTTCTTCCAGGAAGCTTTCTCCTCTCTCCTGCTTCCTCTGTCTGTTCTCATCGTACCTTGTGCATCCTTCTATACTATCACTTTATATTGCTATTCTCTTTATATGCCTGTTTTCCTCACCAGACTGTATGCTCCTCCATGGCAGGGACCACCCATACTGACACAAATACCCACACAGTTTGTATCCCCAGTGCCCAGCATAGTTCCTAGATACTATGAGCACCCATTAAATGCTGTTTTTGTTTTTTTTTAACTAAGAGAGTAAGTAACTTTTTTAAGGTCACATGATGAAGCTCTACCAGGACTTATGATTAGTTCAGACTGTTACACATCTGATCCAGTACTTTGAACAGTGTCTCAATCATTGCACTTAAATGGACTACAGCTCTGAGATATTGTGCCTTTCAGAGATATTTACTCCTTTGTACCATACGACCATTGCTATGCTGCAACGTGGAAAAGGTTCAGAGACTAGTTGCTCAACCACATTACTGCTGTTAAGTAAGGTAATATGGGTATTATGAGTCAGTATGAACAGCTCAACAAAGGCAGAGGCTTCTTGAAAAAATCAGGAAGGTCTGCTCTCAACAGAGCCTATGCTCATTAAGAAACAAGAGTGATAGACACCATTCTGTTCCCCTAACCCCCACCAAAATAACATGCACCCGCTCCCAAACGCACTGCCACTGGGCAGCCCTCAAACTATAGCTATTGACCCACCTCTCTATTTTAGCCTGTCTTTGAGACGCCATAGAAACGAGGCTAGGATAGGCCATGGAGGAACTAGCAGTGTTATTTTCAGCGGAGTTGTTCCTGGTTTTGGGCAGCTCAAACTCCGCCACATGATAGTAATGACACTGAGTTAAGTAGTTTATAAAGTGTTCTCGAGCCTGCTGTAAATGATCTAGACGCTTGCCGGGGTTGACTTGTTTCATGGTGAGGGCTCCTTGAAATGCTGGCACCATCAGGTACTTCAGGTCGGTGGAAGCAATCTCCTCCAAATCTTCATTTCGGCTGGAAGGAGCAAAGAGGAGGCTGTGAAGCCTGCTTGGGCATTCAAGACATGGCCCTTTCTTCCTGGGGATGGGGAAGACTGGGCTCGGAGTGGGGCAAAGGGAGGAGGCACGGGGAACAGTGGCCAATTTCACTCACTCACAGGGCTGAGCGCTCATACCCAATGTCTATACAGTCTGCTGACACTAGAGAGCAGAATCGTGGGATAACAACCATCTCGGAAGAGAGGTAGGGAATGTAAACAATGTACACAGGACTGCAGTGGGAAGTAGAGACGAAAGGTTCTTAGCCCTAAAGGTTCCCTCTGGCCAGGCACAATGCTCCACCCTTGGTAACCATTATTACCTTCATTCTAAGAATCACTTCGTTCTAAGCGATTATTACCCTCTCCCCATACCTGAACAAGTCCAGCTGCGATAACATTTCGGCAGCCTTCTCAAGGAGGTCTAGTCCCTTGAACACCTTGCTCTGGACTATCCGGGAACCAGTGGGTTCAGCCGTTACTTCTACTTCCTCCAGAAGCTGTTTGCCGGTTTCGAACAGCTCGGGGAGCCGCGGCAGCTGTAACTCGTCTTCAGCAGCTGCCATGTTGGGGGAGGGAGGAACCCGGAAGACCTCACTTCCGGGGTCAAAGGTAACCTTGTTAAAGAAGAACTAGGCGAGTCCAAACAAAAACGGAAGGGGCACCGCATTGGTCCAGTCCCTTCATTGTTACCTCAGCGTCAAAGGACTTCCGGGAGCAGCAGTTTGCCGACTCTGGCAACAGTTTCCATGGACTCGTTTTACCAGGCAGCCCGTTGCATGTCATAGGCATCTGTTAAAAACAAACAAGCAAAACCCTAGGCGCTGTGGGACCCTGTGCTCGTCGTCGCCGACATTGGGCTGCGAGGTTCCGTGGGCTCCGCGGCGCGGGTGCGGCGAGGGCGGACGAGCGAGGTGCTGTAGGAGCCGGTCAGGCGCGCGCCTCACCTCACGGGTCGCTCCCCGGGTTGAGGAGTTAAATAATTCATAAGGTGTCCTCTATAAATATATACTGATTACCTTAGTCTGGGCAACCAGGGGCTCCTGCCGCTGCGCCGCTCCCCAGGTTTGCTGGTCTGGCCGCGAGAGCGTGAAATGCAAGTAGCGCCCCCTTCTGGCTAGGAGCCATCCACCAGCTGGGACTCGGGTTCCTCCCAGCCAATCCTCGCCAGCCCTCTTCCCTGGGTCCCCTCTCCTCTCCACTCACATCTATGTCCTTTCGGCCGACGTCCTGTAGAGCCCCTCTCCTCAGCCCAGATAATCTGGCGACCTGCACCTCCAATCACCCCACACCGGGCTTCCTCTCGTGCTTACTAGTTCCCAGGTCAAATGTTACTTCCTCTATGCAACCTTCCTTGACTTTCCCCCACCTTCGCCCGCGACGCTCAGCCACAATTCAGGGTTTCTTCTGTGCATCTCTATCGCAGCATCTACTACACTGATTCATCTTTGCATCCCTCTGGATAGCCTGAGTACCTATTGAGTGCTCTGTGTCAGTCATTACCTGAGTAGAAAAGTGACCAGTTTGGAAAGCAACCCTGTTATGCAGAACTGTGCTATTCAATAGATAGTCTAGCCACATGTGGCTACTGAGCACTTGATAGTGGCTATTTTGAATTGAGATGTGCTGCAAGTATGAAATACCACCACCCCAGATTTCAAAGACATTACAAAGAAAGAATGTAAAGTATCTCAGTACTTTTACACTGACTACGTGTTGAAATAATATTTTGGATCTATTGGGTTAAATATGTTAGAATTTATTTCACTTGTTTCTTATCACTTTTTAAATGTGCCTACTAGAAAATGTAAACCTACATTAGTGACTCAAGTTATATTTCTACTGTACCGCACTGATGTAAAACATAATTTCAGGACTTTGAAAGAAGGGACATCATAACTTGGAACAAATCAATATAAATACAGATTATCTTAGAACACACTACCTGTCCCTGAAAGTAAACGTTTAACCTAGATATATTTTAGACTATAGTTGAGAAAAAAAAAATCATATAAAAACTAGAGGCTGGATGCAGTTGCTCACGCCTGTAATCCCAGCACTTTGGGAGGCAGAGGCGAGAGAATTGCTTGAGCCTGCAGGTTCGAGACCAGCCTGGGCAACATGGCGAGACCACATCTCTACAATAAATAAAAAAATTAGCTGGGCGTGGTGGTGCACACCTGTAATTCCAGCTACTTGGAAGGCTGAGGCAGGAGGATTGCTTGAGCCCAGAAGCTCAAGACCCAGCCTGGGAAACATAATGATACCTCATTTCTACAAAAAAAAAATTTTTTTTAAATAGCTAGGTGTGGTGGTGTGTGCCTGTAGTTCCAGCTACTCAGGAGGTTGAGGTGGGAAGTTTGCCTGAACCCAGGAGGTCGAGGCTGCAGTGAGCTGTGATTGTGCCACTGTACTCCTGCATGGGCGACAGAGTGAAACCCTGACTCAAAAAAAAGAGAGTCTTTTTGGGAGATGCCAGTTACTTTCAGTGTGCCTATTATATGTCGACATTGTCATTTTAAGCATTACATTTCATCTTTTTTTGAAATGATACCAAGATTGAAAAGCGATAATAAAGATGAGTCGTTTGTTGTGTTTCTGTGTGTAAACACTAAATTCCCATTAAATTCTTGTGTATGAAAGATTTTTAAAATCTCAGTTTAGGAGAACTAGAAGGGCCCTTAGAAATCATTAAAATGCCAATGGGAGGCCCAAACTTCACCTGTATGATGACCACTTATGTACCTAACCCTGAATTGTACCCCACATCTTTAAAAAAAATCATTAAAGTAGAATGGTACTTAAACACTTTAGCTTTAAAAAAGCATAACTCTTTCCAAACCAAATTTTAGAGTAGCCCATAATTTCTAAAAGGATTGATGTGTTTGAAGAGTATAAAAAGAAGCCTGCCAACTCAGCTCTCTGGCCCAATCTGCTCAGTGGCACCCCAGACGCCTCTGAGGGACTCAAGGGCTAAAAGTATTGCAGTATAAAAGCAAATCTTAGCACAGCCTGCTCATTTTGCAGATGAAGAAACTGAAGCCCTGAGAAGTTAGGTGACTTGCTCAGGGTCACACAGCTAAGATTAACTGGGCAACAGTATATAGAGTGAGTTAGGATGGAGAGAGAATCCAGGAGAGAGTCCAGGAGAATAGTAGAAAGCATTTGAAGTAATTTATAGATGACTATAGAAATGAGATGACCTTTCAGGTATTTCCTGTTGTGACTCCCTGATAGAGATGATGGATGTCCATTTGTCATGTTTGGATCTTTGCACAGATTTTTTATCTTGTATAACAAATTGCATGATTCATGAGAGAAATTATAAAGTAGACCTTTTCTTGCTTGTCTGAATTGATGTGCTTGGCAGTTTAGACCTTCTTTGCCCTGTTATTTTGTCTTATGTGGGTAATATTCTTCTGATACTTGTTCCTGTAATGCCAGTAATAACACTGGATGAGATCAAATTGTGTACAGTATAAAGCCAAAAGCAGGCTGTAACTTGCCAAACATTATTTATTTATTAATTACTTAATCCTTAGTGTTCAAACTATGTTCATAAAGTATTTTTGAGACTTGAACCTTCCTGACTAGTGGCAAGAAATTCAGGAAAGAAAAAACTCAAATACAATGAAGACCACATCAACTGGGCACAGAGGCTCATGCCTGTAATCCCAACACTTTGGGAGGCGGAGGCGAGAGGATTACCTAAACTCATGGGTTCAAGACCAGCCTGAGCAACATAGCGAGACCTCATCTCTAAAATAAATAAAAAATCACCCAGGCATGGTGGCACATCCAGCTTCTTGGAAGGCTGAGGCAGAAGGATCGCCTGGGCCCAGCAGGTTGAGGCTGCGGTGGTCGTGAGCATGCCACTTCACTCCAGCAGCCTGGGCAGCAGAGTGAGACTGCTACTCAAAAACAAAACCAAAATAAATAAATAAATAAAACAAAGAAGACCACATCATGAAATATTTCAATTCCTACTTCTATGTCCAACTCTGATGTCATACAATACTTAAAAGTACTCTGAAGACTTGGATTTGAGTCCTATCTCTGCTATTGATTAGCTGTGTGACCATGGAGAAGTTCTTTTCTCTTTCCACATTTGTTTTGTGCTACCTGAATGCTAGGTACAAAAGAATTCAAAGAACAACACCCAGGGTTTGAGTCCTTAAGGGGCTCATAGTTCAATGGAAGAGACAAGTAAATAATAAAATAGTAATTTGATAAGTATTGTAATGAAGGTGTGTTCAAGATATTAGAAAAATGGAGGGAATAACTTTGGCCCTGAAGGGCATTCTATTAAAGGTCAAACTCCATGTCTTACAAAATCCTTTCTAATCTGCCTGCTGACATCCTTTTCATTTTGTTCCTTCATGGATCTTAAGCTGTACCTTTAGCAAACTCTTCTAGTTCTCCAAACCTATCATATTCTCTTAGGCCTTCGTGTATTTACATAGGTAGTGCCTACCAGCCTGGAATGTTCTCCTCTCCCCTGTCTTTGTCTGGCAAACGTCCATTACTCATGACTTAGCTCAAAGATCACTTCCTCTTGGAAGCATTTCCTGATCTCCTTATGATAGTACTGTACTGTAGTTATGTTTATCCACACCTCTCTCTCACTAGACTGAGAGCTCCTTGAAGCCAGGGAGAGTGTTATATTTGTCTTTGTTTACTCCAGCACAGCATCTGACACCTGTTAGGTACTGGGGTACTAAATGTAGAGTGAATAACTTTGTATCATAATAACGCCTAACCTTCTCAGTGCTCACTTCCTGCCAAGCAACTAAGGTAAGTACTTTACATGTGCAGAAGTTTAAGAAGTGTCACCCCTTACATAGGATGCTTTGGTATGCTGATTACTTTAAATAGACAGAGGCTATCTCTGAACTTTCCTTATCTGCCTCAAGATAGATCTTCCAAAAGGAACTTAGCTGTTATGAATCCTCTCCCTGGGAATCTTTTTGGCTAGGGAAGATTAACTTGGATCACAGGAGAGGAGATTAGGTTGACACCATGCCCTATTCCTCTGAGGGCTATTCCAAGACTATTTTTATTACCTTAAGAGACTTTTATCTGCATAACAAGACAACCTTTATTTACATTATTTCCTTCCCTTACCCTCCCATAACTTGTGTCACCACCATCCCCTAGAAACTCCAAGTCCCTATTCCTTTCTGTAGCTCAATATGCTATATTAGCTTCAATCACCTGACCCTTATTCAAGTCTCATATCTTGTGGGATTCCTGTGAGTATGTATGTAATCACATATGTTTTTTCTCCTGTAAATCTGTCTTTTCTATCTGTTTCATTCACAACCCAGCCATGAAACCTAGAAGGGTGGTGGGAAGCCATTTTTTGCTCCCCTACAGTTGTCACCCAACCTGGGGTCCCTTGGTTGGGAACAGCTCACTCCGGGAATGCTGCAGCTGCAGGATCCTGAGACTCCTGACAAAACACCAGCCAAAGGTGAGAGTCTTTATGTCTTTGCCTGCAGAGTCTGGTCAAAGTGAGATTGGTAAGAGTCTCTGTCTTTTGCTCTTTATACATTTGGATTAGCAGGAGAAAACTTGCGTGTGAACTAGTTCTTGCATAGAGACTAGTGTTTTGGGGGCAGACAAGTATTCTTGTTTTCTGATTCCTTCTTTCCCATGTAGCAGGAATCTCTACAGAGAGAGACGGGACACCGAGGCTACTTTGCCAGGAAACAGCGTTTACTCGTGCTGGCACTGGCTCAGCAGATTTGCATCCAAAGGCTGAGGTCTGAGCGCAAGGGGGCATTGCCTTTTATACATTTTTAGTTTCCTTGTTCCCAGATAAGCCTTGCTTATTAGTAACATACTGGTTGATTATTTCATAGCTTAGGGTTACAGCAGAGTTACACTTACGCATTACAGATTGTGGTCACATTTCTTTCTAATATGTATCATCTAAGAAAGTTCTTATCTTATTGTGCTAGAAGAACTCTTTCATTATTCTGGGAAGGCTTTTATCTTATAAGACTTGGAATGACTCCCTGCCTCATTCCTCCCTTTGATGCTCGAATCCCTTTCTAGGGTTATAGAGCA